CCTCGTCAACATGCGTGTCAGTATAACAACCACGGTGACCGGGTCTCTTACAACGACAGCATATTACTTCGCTGGGCGAGTTGTCCGAGGAGTAGGGGGTAAAGTCGGCCTTGCACTTCAGACAGCGAATTGCACGTGCGTCTTGGATAAACTGCACAATCGCCGTAGCAGCTACCGCCTTGGTTAGGTGGTTTCCGCTTTTTAGGGTAGAAATTCGTTCCGCAAGAACTGGATAGTCGCTATCCATAGACTGGAGAAGCTTTACCGCAAATTAGCTAGGTGTTTCTGAAGGATAGTTCTAGAGTTACCTAGCAGGTCCACATTTTGCTCAAGGGACTTGTTGCTTTGGTATGCATCTAAGAGGAGGATGGAGGACTGAGGAGAAGGATGAGGAGGATGACTGAGAGGGAGGAGGAGGAGGAAGAGGAGGAAGAGGACTGAGGAGGAGGAGGAGAAGGACTGAGGAGGAGAAGGAGGACCCAGGAGGAGGAGGACCCAGGAGGAGGAGGACCCAGGAGGACCCAGGAAAAGGCCCCAGGATGAGCAGGAGGACTGGGGAGGAGGAGAACTGTTGAGGACTGATGAGGAGGACTGAGGACGAGGAGGAAGAGTAGGAGGAGGACTGAGGAGGGGAGAAGGAAGAGGACTGGGGAGGATCAGGAAGACCCAGGAGGACCCAGGAGGAGGAGGAGGAGGAGGACCCAGGAGGAGGAGGAGGACTGAGGAGGACTGAGGAGGAGGACTGAGGAGGAGGACTGACGATGACTGAGAAGGAGGAGGACTGAGGAGTACTGAGGAGGATGGCTGAGGAGGATGGCTGGGGAGGATGGCTGAGGAGGATGACTGAGAGGGAGGAGGAGGACTCAGGAGGAGGACTCAGGAGGAGGACTCAGGAGGAGGACTTAGGAGAAATGAGAAGGAGGACTGAGGAGAACTGAGGAGGAGGAGGAGGAGGAGGACTGAATAGGAGGAGAAGGAGGGGACTGGGAGAGGACTGGGGAGGAGGAGGACTGATGAGAAGGATGAGGAGGAGGACCCAGGAGGAGGACTGAGGACCGAGGAGGAACAGGAGGAGGATGAAGAGGAGGAGGAGGACCCAGGAGGAGGAGGACTGAGGAGGAGGACTGAGGAGGACTGAGGAGGATGGCTGAGGAGGATTACTGAGAGGGAAGAGGAGGAGGAGGAGGAGGAGGAGGACTGAGGAGGCCTGAGAAGGAGGAGGAGGACCTGGAGGAGAAGGAGGACTGAATAGGAGGAGGAGGAGGGGGACTGGGGGAGGACTGAGGAGGAGGATGGAGGACTGAGGAGAAGGATGAGGAGGAGGACTGAGGAGGACTGAGGAGGAAGAGGAGGAGGATGAAGAGGAGGAGGAGGACCCAGGAGGGAGCTCAGGAGGAGGAGGAGGACTGGGGAGGAGGAGGACTGTTGAGGACTGATGAGGAGGACTGAGGACGAGGAGGAGGAGGAGGACTGAGGAGGGGAGGAGGAAGAGGACTGAGAACGATCAGGAAGACCCAGGGGGAGGAGGAGGAAGAGTAGGAGGAGGAAGCATCTAAATGTTATTTCCATTTTTGTCCGTTTTTGTCCATTTTTGTCCGTTTTTGTCCGCTCTATTTTTTGTCCGTTTTGAAAATATAGGGTACCGAACGGACAAAAAACATGATCCCCCTATAACAGCAAAAATTTAACATTTTATTTAGCAATTTAGGTGTCCATTAATGTCCGCCTATGTCCGCCTATGTCCGTCTATGTCCGCCTATGTCCGCCTATGTCCGCCTATGTCCGTCTATGTCCGCCTATGTCCGCCTATGTCCTGTCCTTTTTGGATTCTATGAGACAAGCGGACATAGACGGACGTGACACCCCCCCCTATATAATAACAGCACATAGTGGGTAGTGGCGTACTACCTATATAATAACAGCACATAGTGGGCAGTGGCGTACTACCTATATAATAACAGTACATAGTGGGTAGTGGCGTACTACCTATATAATAACAGTACATAGTGGGCAGTGGCGTAGTACCTATATAATAACAACTTGCATAGTGGGCAGTGGCGTACTACCTATATAATAACAGTACATAGTGGGCAGTGGCGTACTACCTATATAATAACAGCACATAGTGGATGGTGGCGTACTACCTATATAATAACAGTGCATAGTGGGTAGTGGCGTACTACCTATATAATAACAGTACATAGTGGGCAGTGGCGTACTACCTATATAATAACAGCACATAGTGGGCAGTGGCGTACTACCTATTATATAATAATTCTATTTCTTCACAATCACTCTATTATATTTAGTGTAACTTACTAACTTACAGTACTATGCACCTATAATTTATATAATATATTAAATGCTCTAATCAACAGGAACAACCACTATGATCTCCAGATGGTATCAAGTTAAACTAACAGAACAGCACGAAATGTAGCAGTCACTTGGAATATTAAGAATAAAAGTTCTAGAATTGACCTACAGTAACTTGTATTCAATGTTTCATACATGTCAGACATACAACTCTGTTGTATAATTGATACTAAAGAGTTCGCCTGAAAAGAATTTCAACCACTTGATTTTGTTTCGACTCCTTCTAAATAGATACGTTAAGATTATTAAAGGATATTCAGATATCAGAAACACTGATTAATGATTATAATGATGAAGTGGGAACAGGGAATTATCAACTTTATTCGCTCTAGTACTGTATCGATAATTACGAATATCGCGTGCCCAAATGAGAGTTTCATCAGTGTCTTGTGATACACACTGAGTGTAAGAACACTATGCAAATATATTGAAGATGAGTTACGAGTATAGAAAAATAGAAAGCACTGAAGTAGGTATTATATATAATCAATATTGCTCACGACACTTTATGATGATGTACCATGCTACATAATGAGTTATTGTAGTGCGAGTAAACAGTAAACACCGCATCTTGTTATTGAAGATGATTAGTGCTATCACGTGGTATCTGGAAACATCTTAAAATAAATCTTACTAAAGCCCCTCCTGATCCAAAATAATCTTTTGAATGCAAAATACTTGAAATTCTTTAACCTTCATTGTTTTTGTTTAGTAAGGAATTGTTTTCGACAAATTTTTGTGTACCACAACACATCTGTTTTAACCAGAAAGATACACAACCAAGTCGACCATAATAAGGTGAGAGAGAGAACACACGATCAACTGGATCTTGTTAAAAGTAATTACTGAGGGGGTGTTAGACCCATTGTTATACACACCCAGACAATTATGCTAAATCACGGAGCTACCTCTTCCCCTCCTCCCAGGTAGATATCGTTTTCTCACCACCCGTCAGGAGGGAGAGCATGCTTGGAAAGTGTAAGCTTACACCCAGTTGTACTCTCACTCTTCAGGGCGAGTAGAGAGGTAATTACCAGGACACACACAGCTAGTGTAGGTAATAGGCGTGGATAATGATTTCCTGCGCGGTAGAGATGCAGCATGTGGGGACTGCTGCTGCTTGTATTAAGTCTCTGTTATAATGGAATGCTGAGAATGTGGGAGATGTAGTTCTGTATGTTAAGACTAAGGTTAAGATATATGTACCCCACGTGTAGGTATATAGTATATATACCTATCATGTTATGATACAATACATTGATCTGCAGTATACTATGCATACAGTACTAATGACACATTTGCCGTTTAGAATTGATCCATTATATATATAGCCCCACATGTATATTGTATACATGAAGGAAATCGTACCTAGAATAAAAAATTCTAGCAGATCCGTTTTTATCGGTAGTTTTAGTATGACTGATATAACCTTCAGGCATTTGCACTCACTATAGCAGTAGGAACCATATTAACACGTACTAATATGCTACTACCCTAGCATTTGCACTCACTATTATAGCAGTAGGAACCATATTAGCACGTAATAATATGCTACTACCCTAGCATTTGCACTCACTATTATAGCAGTAGGAACCATATTAACACGTACTAATATGCTACTACCCTAGCATTTGCACTCACTATTATAGCAGTAGGAACCATATTAACACGTACTAATATGCTACTACCCTAGCATTTGCACTCACTATATATAGCAGTAGGAACCATATTTACACGTATTACTAATTTTACAGTTTACTATGCTACTACCCTAGCATTGGTTACTATGCTAATAAAAGTGAAAACTGACCTTATTCATATCATGATCGGATATGTGAATAACTCACCTTATAATATCATGGTTGGATATATGTGAATAACTCACCTTATATCATGGTTGGATATGTTAATTACTCACCTTGAGATAACAGCACGATTGCTTACTGATAGGCTTGCAAGAAATTCCTGAGCTGAATTGGGTCGATAGCTCAATTGGTAGAGCACCAGGCATGTAACTCGGAGGCTGGCGGATCATACCTGCCCCGGCACTATGCCGGCCCATGATTTTCCGAATTGCTTACCAGTGGAAATCTAGTCAATTCAAATATCTGCTTGCTTGGTACTCATGGTCGATACAATCACAGCCCAACCAACTACTTGATCAGACCGATTCATCTACATGTGCATACGTCATCTGGGAGCCGTCAGTTGAGCTTGCTCTCTGACTCGTGGGTTGAAAACATCGTGTACAGTACTTCGTGAGTAGTACAGTACTTCACAACGATGATCCGCCTCCTCAACCAAAGAACCAAATATCTCACCTTATATCATGGTTGGATAATATGTGAATAACTCACCCTATATCATGGTTGGATATGTGAATAACTCACCCTATATCATGGTTGGATATGTGAATAACTCACCTTATGTCATGGTTGGATATGTGAATAACTCACCTTATATTGTCATGGTTGGATATGTGAATAACTCACCCTATATCATGGTTGGATATGTGAATAACTCACCCTATATCATGGTTGGATATGTGAATAACTCACCCTATATCATGGTTGGATATGTGAATAACTCACCCTATATCATGGTTGGATATGTGAATAACTCACCTTATGTCATGGTTGGATATGTGGGAGGGTGCTGCACCATGTGTCTCGTTCTGTCTTGATAACCGTGTTAGACAAAGGGTGATGAGGGAGTTGAGGGGACGGGTGAGCTGAGATGTCATTCCTTCAGCATTACCGCTTGTAATGGACATTCTACAGAGTGGATATATTATTATTATCCGGGATAATGAAGACATTAAAGATGAAGAGTTTAAAGAGATAATATCTATATTATTATTACTATCAGAAGCTGTTAAGATATTATGACGGGAAAAATGTGTCGAATTTTTTAAGATAACATGACATAGTTTCAAGAAAAATGGAAATTGTGGGGGTTGAAGCTGTGTACACGTTACTTTCACTAAATGCTTGAATTTCTTGGGGAAAGCATTTTTGGGTTTAATACTTATTTTAATATTTTAAAGTTCTTTAACAAACCTCAAAGCACATTTACAAATTCAAACCATTGACAAAAACAATCATAAAATTTTCGGAACCAGCTGGTAGACGATAAGAATTGCTAAAAATAAACTTTCACAAAAATCTAAAATTTGTCTGTTAAAAGACACTCAATACTTCGTAACTTAAAGATTTTAAAAATTGTTTGGGTATCTCCAATAGCGTTCCTGAACTTTGCTTGAAGTAGATTCTTTCATTTTAAACACAGAATAATTGGACGGAATATAATGAATATCAGAAACGTAATAAATTATCAGAAACATTTCTGATGGACTATGCTTGGACCGGCTTCTTCATACTCCTGCTTGGTTATCCACATTTCCTTAAAAGTTGACAAGGAAGCTAGTATTGAACCCCCTGTCCAAGCAGAATATTTCTTCTCAGGTGGATGAACGACTTTGACATCCAAATGTGAAGGCACTAGATTAGAAACCTCTTTCTGCAACCTCTCTGCCATACCTGGCAATAAATTAGTGCCTCCAGAGAGAACGATATTGGCGAATAACTTATTCAAGATTTCCTGCCGGAGGTCTGGATCACACGCAATGATGGATTTGTAGCAGATTTCATGAATTCCTGGAGACTCTTTCCCTCCCAGTGAAGGTTGGAACAAAACTTCTGGACATCTAAATCTCTCCTTCATGATGGTTATAATCTGACCATCAGGTAGCTCATATTGATTTTCAGCAGTGTCAGAACTTACAGTAGACCACATATCCTCTTCATAGTCTAGAGAAACGTAACAAACCTTCTCCTTAATGTCTCTGCAAATCTCACTTGACCCAGAAATGGTTGTGAAGTGGTAAGCTCCCTCGCCAAGAAGTTTCTTCATGTGATTTGTGAGCTCTTTCCCGGCAATGTCTATACATTTAGTTGCATGAGGAAGAACATAACCCTCATAAATGAGAACAGAATGAGAAACATTATAACCAGAATCTATGACAACTCCAGTAGTCCTTCCTGAAGCGTACAGAGAAAGGAGAGCTGTGTTGGCGACATAGAATAAAGGAAATTCAAAGGTTTCAAACATGATCTGAGTCATCCTTTCTCTGTTTGAATTAGGATTGAGTGGAGGCTCTGTCATAATAATCGAGTGTTCCTCAGGGGCAATACACAGCTCATTGTAAAACGTGTAAAGCCAGATCTTCTCCATATCGTCCCAATTTGTAACTACACCTCCTTCTAATGGATAATTGAGAGCTAGTACTCCTCTTTTGCTTTGGGCTTCATTTCCCACATAGCAATCTTGTTTCTCCCCACTCAATACAGTTTCGTGTTTTGGGTGTCCAACTACTGATGATAATACGTTTTTAGGAGCCTCATCTCCAGCAAAACCAACTTTTATCTGGAAGGATCCATTGTCAACCACAAGGTCAGTCTGCTCAAATGTTGTCTCACTGTCAGTCATAGCCGTAGGAAAGGTCCAAACTATAGAAGTGAAACCACGGTTGTTTTGTTTTCATTATCCATTGTCCAAACTATCAAGAAAGTACTTAGGTTAGTTCCTGTGTGTTTCTTTGAACTTTATTTGCAGAGTGCCACAGCTTTAAATTTATAGCGTAAAGACGATTCACTATTAATTTAAGAAAATATTTGCCTACATCTTTGCTCTAATGAGTCTAATTTAAAGGCATAGTTTTGAATATAAAATTATATCATAGAGTGAAAATATAAACCTACAATTTAATTGAAACAGTTAGACTGACCAGTTGGAAATATGCCATTCGAGTTACCAAATAATATGATAAAATCAGAATTAAGGACAGGGTAGTCAGAAAAAAGAATTGCATCCAAATATATTTAAGTTAACAGCAAAATCTGCCATTCTTCTAAAAAATCAATGTTCAATGTCTTCAAAAGTTTTAAAGTTTGTTTAAGTGTCTCCCACTGATATTTTCACTATGAACACACTACAGAATAATTGGACTGAATAATTGGACTGAATATTGAGAAATTATCTGAAACATTTCTGATGGACTATTCTTGGACCGGCTTCTTCATACTCCTCTTTGGTTATCCACATTTCCTTGAAAGTTGACAGGGAAGCGAGTATTGAACCCCCTGTCCATGCAGAATATTTCTTCTCAGGTGGATGAATGACTTTAACTTTCAAATATGGAGGAGCTAGATTAGAAATCTCTTTCTGCAACCTCTCTGCCATACCTGGCAATAAATTAGTGCCTCCAGAGAGGACAATATTAGCATAAAGGTCCTTCCAGATCTCTGCACCACACGTCTTGATGGATTTGTAGCAGATTTCATGAATTCCTGGAGACTCTTTCCCTCCCAGTGAAGGTTGGAACAGAACTTCTGGACATCTAAATCTCTCCTTCATGATAGTTATAATCTGACTGTCAGGTAGCTCATATTGAATTTCAGCAGTGTCAGAACTTAGTACAGCAGACCGCATATCCTCTTCATAGTCTGGAGAAACGTAACAAACCTTCTCCACAGTGGTCCGCGAAGGGGGGTCAGGCTATAATAGACCCCTTCTAGGTCATTTTGTTGTCTCAGGATATGTTTCCTGGAGTATTTTCGCCCAAAAAGACGTTTAAAAGCACTTAGAAGACCTCAAAATATACCAGAAGGGCTGAAAATGAGAAATCAAAAAATTGATTTTTTCCAAAAATACCCTGAAAATTTTAGAATTTGGCCGCTAAATTTGTTTAAAAGGCCTGACTCAAAATTCTACTCCACAACTGAAAGTCCTCAGGCAATTCTACGTTGATTCTGAAAATTTCATTAAAAAATATTGAAACCCTATTGAGTTATATTATTTTGAGCAACATCAGTTTCGCGAATGTCGCGAACTGAGATATGGGCAATTTTGTTCATTTTTTGCCATTATTTGAACACAGAATCCACAGTTAGGTAGATATTGAGCTGATATTCATAGAGAATGTGCAGTATAGGCTTACCTAACATATAACATTTGTCTCATCCAAAAATATTGATAATTGGCCAAATTATGGGCTAAAATCTATAAAAATCTATCAAAATTGGCGCGTATGCCCAAATATGGTCATATAGTATTTTGCTCATAACTCAGCCAATTTTAATCAAATTATGATAACACTTTATATTTGTGTTCAGGAGACTAGAAGCTACAAGTAAAGCACCCCAAAGCATGGTTTTGAGCTTGTTAAGGTGATTTTGCATAATTGGGATAATTGGGACCAAATATGGGCGTGGCTGATTTAAAAAAAAGTCCCAGCTTGTCCCAGGTTGAATTTTTTATGGCTAGTTAGATAATTATCTGAACTTTAGGATGCCATAGGTGGTTTAGGTGCACTCGAGCGCACTACCTAACATTTTTTTATTTTAAAACCAAAATTTTAGTTAAAAAGTGGGTATAAAATTTGAGGGTAAATGAAAAATCAACCAAAATAGATATCAACATGAATTTTTTTTCATTAGACAGGTATTCAACACGTACAACAGCAACAACAAGAGTAAGTGAATGCAAATATAGACTGCTTTATGAATATCCAGTCAGATGTAGGCCAATTTTTACTGCCAATTGCTTGAATTTCGGACTGTGTAAAAAAATCGTTGATATTATCGTACATCATTTCCACATTTTGAAAGATTTTTAATTATCGTCTTCAGCATATGTACCGGCTGATAATTTATGATAAATAACAAATAAATAAACAGAATTTCATGATACTCGATTTTGGTTCAATTATAGCCTGGTGGACCACTGTGTTCTCCTTAATGTCTCTGCAAATCTCACTTGACCCAGACATGGTTGTGAATTGGTAAGCTCCCTCACCAAGAAGTTTCTTCATGTGATTTGTGAGCTCTTTCCCAGAAAAACCTACAGATAAAGTTGCATGAGGAAGATTGTAACCCTCATAAATAGGAACAATATGAGACACATCATAACCAGAACTCACAACAACTCCAGTGGTCCTTCCTGAAGCGTACATAGAGAGGAGGGCTGTGTTGGCAACATAGAATGAAGGAAATTTAAAGGTTTCAAACATGATTTGAGTCATCCTTTCTCTGTTTGAATTAGGATTGAGTGGAGGCTCTGTCATAATAATTCGGTGTTCCTCAGGGGCAATACACAGCTCATTGTAAAACGTGTGATGCCAGATCTTCTCCATATCGTCCCAATTCGTAACTACACCTCCTTCTAATGGATAATTGAGAGCTAGTATTCCTCTTTTGCTTTGTGCTTCATTTCCTACATAGCAATCTTGTTTCTCCACATTCAATACAGTTTCGTGTTTAGGGTGTCCAACTACAGATGATAATACGTTTTTAGGAGCCTCATCTCCAGCAAAACCAACTTTCATCTGGAAGGATCCATTGTCAACCACAAGGTCAGTCTGCTCAAATGTTGTCACATTACCAGTGTCACTCATAGTGGGTTGAAAATTGCTAGATTTAGAGAACAATTGGGAATATTCCGATCAAATTATAGAAGTGAAGCCAGAGTAGTTGTATCCGAACTAATAAGAAAGTACTAAAGTTAGTTCTGACTATATTATGGTTATACAATAGTGCTTTACAATTAAAAATCATTTATTGGTGAAAAAGGAATTCATTGTTTATTCATGAAGACATGTCCACATGAATCTGCTCTAAATAGGTAATTTCGGCAGAAATTTTTTTAAAAGAATACTGAAAACTAAATTTAAGCAGTATGAATGGCATTAAATTTAAGAATATCACAGACACATGAATTAAAAATAGACAAAAACGGTGTTGTTTTAAGCACAAAGTCAATTTAACAATCGTGTGCTGTATTATACAAACAAGCTCAACCTAATCCTGTCAAGTAGTGGATGTCCTTGCTGTACGGCAAGTTAAACAAGGAACTGAAACTACTAGGTTCCGTACAGACTCAACTCTGCACCCATGTCAATATGTTCATTATATGCAAGCCTCTTGATTTATATCCTGTCGTGAGTAAACAAACATTTTCCAAAATCTCCATAGCAGTAGCTTTTATTGAAGCTTTTAAAGTAACTAGTGGTTTGACTGAATATGGATCAGGTTTGTTCAGAATGAGCAGATCTGGTCTTAATCTTGTTTCAACCAATAGATGTAGTAAGAGTGTAACTAAAGTGAAGAATCTTCAGTCTTCTTTTCTACCGGAGCGAGTCATTCCTTGTCAAGAACTGCTCGACAGTTTTAAGCTTTAAAGTTAGATTGGAAGAATTTAAGAAAGAAATTATTTCTAAAAACAGTGTAAATGATATTTATTTTTGGAATGTTTCCAATGAAGTTTTAGTTAAAATTGAAGGATCCAGTTATTTAAGCAATAAGGAGAGACATAATGAATATCTTTGGTTCCATCCTTTTGTGACAAAGAAGCGTTTTGTAAATTTTTATTCCACTGGGAAGTATTAATGAATTATTTATAAATAATGTATTAGATTTTATTTATTAATAAAGTTGAATTTGATAAATTTTTAATGTTGATGGAAATTTATATTATATACATATTTATTTAAATTATTTTTCTATTTAGTGCAATGATATTTTGTAGACACTTGTGATGATGTTATGTCACAATCTTTACTTACTTACTTACTTACTATGTACTAGTAGCACAGCTCATAGGAAAACAAATATTTTGCTCAACTCGATCCTATATTAATTATAAAAAAGCTACAGGGTGGGCCAAAAGTCAGTACCCATACGTTGGCCTTTATAGCTCAGTCACTGAGTGCCCAATTTAAATACTTCTTTCTGGTATGACTTAGTACCACCACTGGTTCGAGGAATTTGTCAACTCGAAAAATATTCGCGTTCATTTTTTTCAAATAGAGGTTCATTTTCACATTTATTTGATAGTTTGGATAGTCGGATCAAGCTAAATGTTATTGAATTGTGTTTGGCCATTCGAATTACGTTTGTCCTGAAAGAATTAGAACTGTAGCTTCTCAGATGACCGAGATATGAAGCATAACGAGTTTATTCATTACGTGTGATCAGGTGATTGGTTTACCTAATCACGTGATAAGGTGACCCCGTTAACTACCCCGTTAAACATTATGGGAATTGTTAAGGGTGCCCAATTAAGGTGTCGTGTCACGGTGTCACATAATCACCCAGTCAATTTTGTTAACGAGATACAGAACATGCTTGATAACTTCGTCATTTCTAATCCGTTTTGCCTCATGTTTTCAGATCATATGCAACATTTGACAATCTACCGTCTCTGAAAAAATTAGGCGTTCAGCATGTTCAGAGAAAACAATATAGGTGTTTTAATATTGAATGGGCGTGGTCTAAAATATTCGAATTTTCAAATTTTGACGACGGAATCCTCGAACCAGTAAGTACAGTATGCCATCTGCAAAGCAACAGCTCTCAAATATAAAACACGGCGGAGCTATTAAGGCCAACGTATGGGTACTGACTTTTGGCCCACCCTGTATATGTTTGGTAACTTTATTGGGGGGGGGGGCAATCCTAGTTTGCCATATTTCAAATCCCGAAACACTGAACTTTTTCATTTCAAATCTTTAATATCGTAATTAAATTTTTTCTTAGGTTTTTATTGTTGTTCATCACATATACATTCATTTTATTGGCACTTAGGTACAAGATAGCAAGCACAAGTTAATGTCATGCATCGTAGAATTTAAACACTTGACAAGTTAACAACAACCATTGCTTATCAAAAATCATTTTACAATGAACCCATTTATATTTTATTTTATTTCCCAAACTTTGACACACGCTGTAACCCCTTTTGATCGCGCGCGTGCACGTCGCACGAAAGATATACAGCGTGTAGCAACCCAAACTATGTTACTCTTCTTTCATTTACATTTATGAAATGATTCATAACAATCTTAAGATCATTATCGTCCGTTTTTTGTGTTAATGAATAACCAAATAATATTTGCAACATATTTTAAAGTGTTGAGAGCAATTCCGAAACATTATAGTCGCAGCATTTTATGTTCTAAGGAATGAAGATTCGATGCAGTTAATTCCTTGTCATAAGTAGCACTGGCTGGATCACAATGAAAAGAGACTACGGTCTAATTAAAACAACTTTTCTTGACACGTTCAATAGGATCTTGCATGTAGCAAAATTGAAAATAGCTTTACAGTGAAACGATCATGAAAGAAAACAACAATAACAAGCAATTATCCACAGTCTGAGAGTGAAACAAGGATACAAGGACATAATACAACAGCATTTGCTCTATCCAGAGCCCTTGTGCTTGCAGTAGCGCGCGCCCGCCTCACGGCGGTAAAAAGAGCAAGAAATTATGGCAAAATGATTTACCTAACGCTAAACTTGCTAGTTTATTGCTTGCTCCTGACCTCTTACCTGGAGACCCCAGGCTATTATGTTCATGAACATAGCCTGTCGTAATCGAACCCTCTAAAACGCGCAAATAGGCGCGTTTATGCGATTTTACAATCAAATAATCAGATTAAATTTTACAATCTAACTCATCGCGCGGCTCTTGTAGCGCATACGTCTCTTCTTTCTTATTGGTAGTTGGCGTGCACGTGATCTTTTGCGCGGCTGTAATTGGTTCTGATCGATCACGTGAATGCAAGTCACGTGCGCTCTAACATCCAATAAGCATTCGCACTTTTTTCAGGGCGATGGAGGTTGTAATTTACTCAGCCCGAATAATTAGATTCGTCGGAATGACAGGCTGAGCGCCGCCCAGTAACTGACCTTTAAATTTTAAATGCGAGATGCTTGAAGATCGCGATCGCCACACATTATATGGACTGCAGGCGTGCAGTGCCAGGTAACAGAATGACGCGCTGAGCACCGCTCAAAAATATATAAAATTGCGTAATTTTGCATTTAGCATTGTGATTTTTACTCCGATCATATTGTATTGATATCATTAGCTTTAAATGGTTAACATTTTAATTGTTTGGATGAGCGTGCTAAATTTTACTCTTCAAGATCGAATCTCGAGATTTTTTAAAAAGGCCAAGGGCCCCGACAGTGCAGAATCACCTTCCATGACATACAACATAAGGTTAAATAATGCTCCCCTGGTGAGATATTGGCGAAAACTGTCTTGATCACGTGATATGACCGTATAATGTATATAAAGAAATTGCAATTGGTAGAATTTCTTATTAGGGTTAGTGTTATATGCTTTTGCGTTAGGGATTGGGTTAGGTAAGGGTTAGAGTTCGGATCAGATATAAGAGGGTTAGTGTTTAAAATATTCGTTCAGGGCCAGCTAGAGAACGGGTTGAAAAAGTCACGTGACAGTCGAGTGTTGATTGATTTATCATCATCCTCCCCACATTGCTCTAACCTGAGCCCTCTCGCTTGCAGTAGCGTGCGACCGCCGACAACAAGCGCGTCACGCAGTACGCGTATACAATACACATGGCCATGTGTACTCCCCACACTGAGATCCCATATCCAAAATGAAGTTCATAGTAAGGCAATCTCCAAAAGCAGAGTTGTGATTGTTTTAATACCAAGTACGTTCTTTCATAAAGCCTCTAGCTCTTATTTGAAGTTCAATCTAGATAGATAATCACTCTTACACCTTATCACAGCTGTGCGCTTCGAGATACTACTGGTTATAATGTCGAACGATCTAAACAAAGAAATTGTATCAAAGCATCCAGTGAATCTTTGTATTGCTGTACTTTTTGAAACGTACAAATTCCACTTTTTTGAAAATCATAACTACGGTACTAGCAAAACTGCACGTTTTGCTCTAGAAACACACTTTTTAGAGATTTTACAGGCGTATTCCAACAAGCAACGTTACAAGAAAAAGTCACGTGACAGTCGAGTGTTGATTGATTTATCATCATCCTCCCCACATTGCTCTAACCAGAGCCCTCTCGCTTGCAGTAGCGTGCGACCGCCGACAACAAGCGCGTCACGCAGTACGCGTATACACATGGCTATGTGTACTCCCCACACTGAGATCCCATATCCAAAATGAAGTTCATAGTAAGTCAATCTCCAAAAGCAGAGTTGTGATTGTTTTAACACCAAGTACGTTCTTTCATAAAGCCTCTAGCTCTTATTTGAAGTTCAATCTAGATAGATAATCACTCTTACACCTTATCACAGCTGTGCGCTTCGAGATACTACTGGTTATAATGTCGAACGATCTAAACAAAGAAATTGTATCAAAGCATCCAGTGAATCTTTGTATTGCTGTACTTTTTGAAACGTACAAATTCCACTTTTTTGAAAATCATAACTACGGTACTAGCAAAACTGCACGTTTTGCTCTAGAAACACACTTTTTAGAGATTTTACAGGCGTATTCCAACAAGCAACGTTACAAGCTATACTAACTCAAGATCATCCTGATTTGGTTCTCTTCTAAAGTTCTAAACAACAGATAGCTAAAAACTTAACAAATACATGCAAGCTATAATAGGCTGGCCGTGACCATCAGTAGGTCCACGCAAAACATGACCCAACATTCTCCATCGATTTATGTCCACTCTTGCTGATAATGGTTCCACATT